AAGCAGATTGAAGCCAGAATGATGGTGACATGTTGTAATTGTGTTGAATATTTTGATGAACAAGTGCTATGCTATCATTTTGAGGAGCAGGTTTATACATGATAATCCTCATTTGGTCATTATAAGAAGCAGCAGCAGCAGCGGTAACATTGAGATTTGGTGACGCATGATTAGTAGGAGTAGTAGGATTGGTGGAAGCTCTTGAAGATGATAATGACACAGCATTATTGGTTGATGTTATTATGGAGGGTGACGAAGATGTTGGTGAGCTGAGAGGTGAATTATTACAATTGCTGTTGTGATTGTGATTATTGTTATTGGAATTTGTTAAAAGACCATAATATTCACTGATATTATAATTGTTAAATTCCGTTATATTTGTATTGATTGGTGAAGCGACAGATGACACAGATCCAGAAGAATCAGAGACATTAACAGCGTCACAAAGAGCAGGTTGTTGTTGATGATGATGATGTTGGTGATGTTGATGATGATGATGATGATGATGTTGCTGCTGTTGTTGTTGTGGTGGTGGTGGTGGTGGTGGAGGATAATTGTAGGCGAATGAAAGAGTTGGTGAGGTGGCTGATGAAATAGGTTCACTTGATGAATTGTCATCACAAGGATGATAATTATTATAAGGAGCAAATGGTGGACCTTTATCAAACTCATTTGTTGTTAACAAGTGAGGAGATGATTCGATTGAAGAGTTGTGATCGATATCAACCAAACCATAACCATAACCATTGTTACCGCTACTATTGCCATTATTATGGTTATTTCTATCATCGTCACAAAATTCGGTTTTGATTGGAACACCTTCATATGATTGTTGCTGAATAGGATGGTGAGGGTGATGATGATGACTCGCTTGCGAATATAAAGGAGATAAAGGAGATGTAGATCCAGATGATATTGGCAATATAAATTGTGACTGTTGATAACTGTTTAATATGAACTCTTCTTCTCCTTCTTGTTTAGAATAAAATTCAGATTTAATAATCGTTTGAGAACTATTAGCATCCAAATAACTATTATTACCATTATTATTCATATTGATTTGATCATTGCCACAAAATGTATTATCTACCAAATTGGAGTTATTACCATAAGTTGGAGATTGAACAAAAGCAAGAGAAAAGGTTTGGACAAATTTTTTTTTAAAAAGAATTATTTATGGTTTAAATTTGATAAATAATAAATATATGATGGATATGTTTATAAATACAAAATAAAAGAATGTTAGCCAAAAATATAAAGATCAATGGAATAATATATTATATACATCTGGATTACCACGTTAAGTTGATAATAAAAATAACATATAAAAAAATCACAAACAATTTATTGATTGAAAACATTTTATAATAGTGAGAGCAAGACCATTGGTAACTTTATGGGAGAATCATTGTGCACCAATGCTACAAGGTCTAATATATACACACATTAGCATGTGTATTTATATATAATTTATAAATTTAATGCAATGGATTGTAAATTTATTTTCTTTTGGTTTAATAGATGATATCGTCAGACAAAGAACAACCCATCCACCGCCAATGCTATCTAGTACGCGATCATATTATTTATATTTACATATTAATATATTTATACGACATTATTAAATAATAAAAATGAATTTTGATATATTTTCAAGGTAATGATATTTATTTGCAAGAACCAATTAGCCTATCTTTTACTACTAACATTCCTGAAATTAACAAAGAAGTAAGTTCTGTATAACGGGGTTTGATTTTTATTGATTAGTTGATAGTTTTAACGAAATGATTTTCTATTGTCCTGGCAATAAAAGCATGATAGAACAAGCAGTTTACAAGATGTTGAATCAGAAGTGTTGAGGAGAGGAGAAAGTTCAACAAATGTATCATTATCATCTGGGCTTAGAAGGAGTAGAGATAGTAGTTTGAATAGATCTCATGACAGCAGCGGTAATTATTTTATTAATCACTTATAATTGACATAATAATTGATTTCAATATATATTATTAGATCGGTTTTTTGATAATGATTTTTTGGGAGGATTTAATTATGGTGGTAGTGCTAGTGGTAGCGATTTTTTTGATTTATCAGGAGTAGTCGAAAGGTAAATAAAATATTCAATAACAATAGCAAACAGTGACATTATTGCTATTATTATTATTATTATTATTATTATTATTAACTTTAATAATAAATTTTCAAAAAAAAGTGTTGACAATAGAAACCAAAGAAATTCGATTGGATTTAATCGAGCATTATTGGATTTATCAAAAAGTAATAGCGGTCAATTATCGGATTTTCCAATAGTTGATGGTAGATTAATATTTATTTTTGCTTTTTTCTTGTTCGATTATTAATAATAGTGACGATAGTGATGATGTTTTTTAGATAATTATGGAGGCGATGAGGGTAATGGTAGTTTAGCATCAGAATATTATCAAGGAAGATATTATTCGTCAAGAAATAGAAGTATTGGGAGTAGTGTTGGAAGTGGTATTGTTATGGAAAATGATTCAAATCTAAATCAAGAACATGAATCAATGGCGTTCATGGAATCGGTTAAATCACTAATGTATGAGGCAAAAGTTACTAGTGCCATTTACCAAGATATAATTGACGCTCATAATATGAAACAATCCCAAGTTACACGATCATTTTATCATATCCTGAGTATGAATTATTGCATATGCGTGTTGTAATTATCATCCATCATATTACTTATATTAATCAATATTTTTGTTTCTATATAAATATATATAGGTCTTGCAACAAAGAATCTGATTAAAGTGGCCCAAACAGAATCTTATGGAGACATTATCATAGAGATTAATGATATTGATAATGACAATGATAATAACCATAACATGTAACTCCATACATTTACCAGGTTGAATTGTGCAACCAAATGTCGCAGCAAATTAAATACAAGTTGCCATAGTAATAGTTCATTCTTAATCAATTTAAATTTTTTTCGGTATATTTGACTTACCGGCATTGCCGACACTTTCTATTGCATTAAAAAAATATAGAATAAAAGTTATAGAGTATTATTATATATTATTATCAAAATAATAAAGAAACCTAGCATAAAATCGTGAAACGCACCTTTGAACCAAAAATTGAAAAAGCAAATTTTTTGTTTGACGGAATAACTTAATTTTGTATATAGTATATGGTACATGGTAATTGTAATTGTAAGTAGTGTAATAATTATGCAAATTCACACCAGAAAAAATTTCCTGATATTCAACATCCCAAGAGCTTTTTCTCACACTAGATTTGTTCCATTTATGATCTTAAGAATTAATCCTGTAATATCACGATCCTCCAACACTTATTCAACGCACAATGGCAAGTCAAGCAGTATCTTCTAATATTGTAAAATCTTCAACAGGAGCCAAATCTCTTTTACCGGTAACGTTATCATCATCAATAATCAAAATGAGAAAAGACAACTTAAACAATAAATGAATATTTGTAATATTTTACTTTCATCAATAGCAAGTTAATGAAAAATTACCAATGAATTTTTCCACATATTGTTGACCACAAATATATATAGCAAATACTATTATTGTAGAAAAATTAATTTATAAAAATTAAAACATCTGTCTATATAAATATAAATATATTATCATTCTATCACTAAAATATATATTCATACCTTAGCCTTCGTTTTGATTTGGATTGCTGCTGTTTAATCATTGAGGCATCAAGTGGCTTGAGCAATTCAAAACTACACAATAATTCCTCATTGACGCTCATCACAGCCCCGAAATTATCAAATTCTCCACAATAATTAGGAGCTGAAAATACAGTGACCAATGTCCGTTCGTTAAAAAATTCATAACCATCTTCTACAACCATGTGAGCACGACATACCAAATCAAAGTCATGTCGATTTAGAAAATCGTGGATTATTGCTTTTCCGAAGCAATAACTGACACCACGTTCATTATCCTCCCAATCAATTGCTGTTTCTGAAGGATCTGACCAAAGTAGGTCATTCAATAAACCGTAATCCGGTATTTCTGTTGGCCGTCTAATACCTCGTATTTCATCCATCGACGATAGGTCAGGCGATAGTCCTCCATGCACGCAAAATATTTTGTTTGCTACAACGGCTGCAATCGGAAGGCAATTAAATACATCTACAAACGTCTTCCATGTTTTAATGTTTGATCGTCGTTTACATTCATCGTAAAATCCATATACTTGTAAATAAACAATAAACAATAAATAATATTAGAGAGTGTGAATATATATATTAATATTAATATTAATAATATGATTATTATTGTAATTAAAAATATTATAAATTACCTCTGGTAACATTTGCACATTCATGATTTCCTCTTAATAAAAAAAAATTTTCAGGATATTTAATTTTATAACAAAGCAGAAGTAGGATTGTCTCCAAACTTTGTTTACCACGATCAACATAATCGCCCAAGAACAAATAATTGGCATTGGGTGGAAACCCACACATGTCAAATAATCTTATAAGATCAGAGTATTGACCATGAACATCACCTACTATTTTTACCGGTGGAGTAAGTTCTATCAATGTTGGTTGTGATAAAAATACTTCACGTGCTGCTTGACAAATAGATTGTATTTCTGCATTTTTTAAGCATACAGACTTGGAAACTTTATTTGAATATCCAACCATTAAAAGTCTTTGTATCATATCATCTATATCAATAGATTTCATACGTTCATTGAGTGATGTTGGCGATGTTGGTAAGCTAATATTATTATTATTATAACTGCTACTGCTATTAGTACTATTGCCACTAAAAGTACTACTAATTCCATATGAGAGTGTATTTGCAAGAGACGAACCAATTGAATCTGTTCTTTTAATATTACTATTGCTACTATTGTTACTATTACCGTTATTATTACCTTTGTTGTTGTTGTTGTTGTTGTTGTTGTTGTTGTTGTTGTTATTCTCATTGTTGTCGTTAGAAGAACGTAAAAGAATGGGTTCCATTGATGTTGATGGAGACATTAGATTACCGTTATTACTATTATTATTATTATTGCTATTGTCTTCTAACTTATTTATGTTATTATTTAGCGTTGAAAGAGCATTATTTACATTTCTGCTATTTGTTTCAACACTTAAATTGTCTTTGGAAGTAGCAGAAACGGAATTAGGTCCATTATTATCTCTTTTATCCTTTCCTTTTTCATGATCGCTTATGATGTTCGACAATCGTTTTTTTGAAGCAGCATTACCCATTAATAAAGCGTTACAACTATAATATTTATTATTTTATTAAATTGTTTCTTTTTTTTAAAAAAAATTAAATAACGTTAGCAAATTAGCCAACTACTAATTTTTTAATATGATGTAGGATAAATAAATAATGGAAAATGAGATTAGTAATAAAATAGGTTGGGAATTGTGACGTATTTTCAATATTGGAAATTACACAAACACATAACACACGCACAATCAAAGCACACAACATAATTTGTGGATTACACGACATGTAGTCTCACAAAAAAAATTTTTAACTGCATTCATTATTGTTATGTTTAATATGGTATAGTGTCAATTATATAATAAAAAAAAAGGGAAAAGGGAAATGAGAAATGAGAAATGAGAAATGAAAAATGAGAAATGGAAAATGTAATAAAAAATCATATATAAATCACAACCAATCAATCAATTGGCGAACTTGGATTTTAACACAATTGGTATTAATGCAGTAATGCTGATTAATATGATTGTGGTTATATTTTGAATTGTTAGAAATGTAAAGTTCTCAGCTTCTGACATTTCATGTATAGTTTCTCCCGCCTGGACATGGATAAAAGAAAGTGGAGCGACACCTACAGAAATCAGCGCATCTTAGTAATTATTTTTATAACAATAATAAATATCCTTCTTATTAATAATTACCAAGGAATGTTGCCCAATAAAATTTACCAACATCAACTCTTAAATGAGGAGATGCAATATTGATGAACCAATTTGGTAGAAATGGAGTTACTCTCAAAAATAATATATAAGAAAACAAATTATTTCTATGCTCATTTAACTATAAGAAGGATTTTGAGATAGTATATAAGTATTCAAGTAATATATTATATTATTATTATTATAATATAACAATAATAGTAATTAGTTACTTGCTGATTCCAATTAATCATACGTTCCTTCCAATATTTTTCAGTGATGTTTTTACCGAAGTAATAAGATAATAAATAACAAATTGTTGCTCCTGTTGCTGAACACTTTTTTCAATCAATAATAATATTATTATTTTATTCATAATTGATTAATTAGTGTTTAGAGAATGATCATATAAATAAATAAATAAAATTTGCTCACAAAACAAACAATCACTAAAGCCTTCCAACTTCCCCATAAGCTTCCACCTAAAACACTCAACATCACACTTCCTGGTATTGCAAAGGATTGCAAACTATATACATATATATTATATGTTGTAAATTATATATAAATTATGTTTATATTTATTGTTATATAATAATTGTCTATTACCTATCTTACTTACAATATATAAGTCGTTACATAACAAATCAATATGTCAATACTTTCACAATTGTTTAACACTTCATAGAGGTGCTTAACATCTTTTAGATCTTTTGGCAAGGTCAAACTAATCAAAATAATTAGTAATTATTATGATTATGATTATGATTATGATTATGATTATAGATTAACAATATTTCATCATCACCATCTTCTTCTTCATTCGCTCGTATTGTTACCTGTCTTTTGGTAAATATGATTCCAAAATCGAATACAATATTTTTATTGAAATTAATAATATTAAAATTAAAAGTATCGTTGAAAATAATACTGATGATTGATTTAATAATTTCATTTTGAAGAAAATATCAAATTGTTTTTTTTAAAAAATTTTGATTTACGGTATTATCATATGTAAATCATTTCTTGTACTAATATAAGTTATAATTTATTAATTTATTTATTTTTTACCTTTTATAGAAAATGTTTTATTCAAAAGAAATATTAACAAAAAAAAAATGTGGATTTGGAATAATTTGGTTTGTACATGGAGTTTAATAAATAAATAAACAATCGAGCTCCAATTTTTCTTTTCCATGTTCATTATCGTCTAAATAATTAGGTTAGCTTCCACGTTAGGATCACGTTCTCATCTTCGTAAACTTTCAAGGAAAGAAATTAATTCAGTTAATTTGGTTAAAGCTTGGTAAACATTTTATCTATTGATCTGATCACATGAAATACATTCTCTTCATACATATCTATATATTCAATATCAATATATGAATTTATTTATTATTATTCTAGTGGCTATCTAAGTTCACCACCGGAACCACTAGCACTTCGATTATCTTCTAATTTATTGTATGGAATTACACGTTTATATCAACAACAGTACCAATTTTATTACGGTAAAAAAAAATGAGATTATTTCACCAAAATTAAAAAAAAAAAATACTTAAATAAGAATTTATTTTTTTAGTGGATACAAATAATTTATGGCTAAAATTTCAAAAAGCTTTGTCCGAATTTCGTAATGAATCCGTCGACATGTCAACATCAGAGGCAAGGTAATCAATTAATCAATAAAAATCATAAATACGCTTTATAACACGTTAAATTTAATAGACAAATTTAATAGACAAGAAGCAATAACGCTGCGAGATGATCCCTATTTCGAAATCGAAATGTTAATAAATAAATCGAATGATACAGATATGGTAGAATATATTCATATTATAAATTAAATTTTACGCTTGTTTACAAATTATTTTCCTTTTTTTAAAAAAAACCTTTTAAGGTTTTTGAGATCGAAAGACAAATTGATTGGATATTATCTTCAGAACAAGAAATTCCTAACCAAGGTATCGACCAATTAAACAATTAATAAATCAAAGTGAAAAGAAACCATTATTACTTTATCGCGTGAAATATTCATACCATAATAATATTTTTTTTTGCTAGTTTTGACGAATAATCGAAAAAATGATAATAATAGATCACGGCGTTCTTTAATTACTCTCCCGGAAGAGATTTTCAGTTCAGGTGATGGTGAATTTACTCAGTCGTTGTCAACTGGATTTGGTGGTGGATTTGGTTTTAGTCTTAACGATGATGATTTATTAAGAATAGAAGATAATAATGGGTATATATATACACTCACATATTAACGCATTTCGATATTATTATCATCGTGTTTTAATAATAACAATAAAATTAATAAAAATTGATTAGTATAACAATTAATTTCGACGAAAATGGTAATTTACATGAACTTGTGCCCGACATTGAAGGTAGTGGTGTTGGCGGAGGAGGAATGGAAAGAAGTGGCGTAGTAGTTGATGAGGAGGGAATAACTGATGGTTTGAATTCTGATACTATCAAAGAGATTGAGCATAGAGTTAGAGACGAACATAATAATGTCGATCAATCAAGAGACCACAAAAGGCGTAGAACTGAACTTCAAATTCATGATGGTGTTGAAAATCATCATGATTTCCAAAATACTGTGGTTAGTTGTCTTTTAGCTTTTAATCAATTAATCAGTTAATTATGACATATACATGATAAATAGGAAGTATACGAGCAACAAGGGCAAGATGAACAAAGGATTGGACAGGATGAGATGGAAGTAGTAATTGAACCACGAGTTATTGATGAAGAAGAAAATAATAGAAGGTCATCCGTCTCGACACAACCGAGACGTCGTCGTAGACGTAGGCTACAAAATATGTACGATGAACCAGCAGAATTAACAAATGAACAAATTCTTCAAATGCGCGAAAGCGTTGTTGTTGATTTGGATATTGCTGAACAAAAAGCAAGAGAAAAGGTTTGGACAAATTTTTTTTTAAAAAGAATTATTTATGGTTTAAATTTGATAAATAATAAAT